CTTCTGAGTTCCCAACAAGAGGCTAAAACGTTACTCTATTTTTGACCCTCACATCATTACTATTTTCAGAAAAGAGCTCAGGGAAACTTTGGGCTGTAGAACATTCTGACAAGCTACCAAAATCTGGCATGTAAGTTTGGATGCATACCCACCTTGACCCACACAGAGAGACCCAGACAGTGCCCTCAACCCTGCTCCCAGTCCCCTCACCCTCAAACTCTGACAGTAACTCAGTTTCCGGGTACTGCTGTCCCAGCATTGGTGGAAGGCTGTACACTTTTGCATAATTTATTCCACGTTTGTTTGTTGGACCTGCCAGAGGCATTTGTTGTAAATGTTTAAATGCCATAAGTTTTGATGAGCTTTCTTTAGAAATAACTGTCCCCGGGGTGGCTCATAGAATAGTAAATTAACACCCATCTATCCACTCGGCTCCTCCTGGCCCAGGCCCCTTAGTTTCAATGTTCTCTATAAAACATTCATGGCCTAGAACATCACAGACACTGCCAGGCAGGACAGGAGGATGGGTCCTACATCCACATTGAGTAAATATTTGGGTGACAACAAATTCTATGAGGTAACTCCTAGGAACTAGTTAAACAGGATTGTGTTTTAAAGTCCTCCCCCACCTCACACACCCACCCTCTCTCCTCCTTTCTGTCTCCATCACTTACACAATTACTCTTAACAACTCAATGACTTAGGGATGGTCTGAATTGAGCTGTTAAGAATAGGTGACTCTTCATGTACTTATTCACAATGTCAGCAGTGAGTATTATTGTGTTTTCCCCAAATGCTTAACTCTCTAGTCTCTAATGACCATTTTCTGCATGAGACAAAAGGGACAGAAGAGACTCCCCCATAAAGGGGCTGCCCTGCACGCTAAAAGGGCAGTGGTAAGCCCAGGTTCTAACTTGGACTGTGCTAACTTTTAAAAAGGGCCTCACCATGTTGGTCCTCCTCAACAAGGATGCATAATTACTACCTTATCATAGTACAGAACATGTGGTTACAAATGAGTGTCTTCATGATAAGATGTTCATTGTTGTTGGGTAAATTTTATAATTTTTTAATCAGTGGATACAGCCAACAACATACTTAATGATGAAAGATGATTTTTTTCTTCTAAGATAAAGCACAAGACAATTACATTCTCACTATTTTTATCCAACACTGTGTAGATCAATGAAAAAGAACTGTCCAGATATAAATTTATTCATTCATGGTAGGCTAACTTTTATGAGAATGTCAAATGATTCATAGGTAAAATATTCCTTTCATAGACAACAGAGTATCCCCATGTAAGAACTTCATTTAGATTTTCTATATCATACAAAAATTATCTCAAGTTTTCATAAACCTATTTATAAGGGTTGGAACGATAAAAATCTTCATGACATTGAGCTAGGCAAACTTTCTGTTTTTTAATATGGAATGCATCACAAATTTGTGTATTATCTTTTTGCAGGGCATGTTATTGCTTGTATTGTTTCAATTTTAGTATATGTGTTTAGAATAAGCACTATGCAATAATTCTGTACCCATGACACAAGAGCACACTGACAAAGGAAAAACAGGTAATTTGTTATTTAAATGATATCATCAGTAAAATAAGAATGCTTGTAAATTATATAGTGTCCCAGATATATAAAAACTCCAATTATTTTGTAGTGAAAAACCAAGTAGCATAATTTTAAATAAATGGAGGGTTTAACTAGACATTTTTCTAAAAAAGGCATAGAAATGACTAATAGCATAGAAGCAGATGTTCAGCATCATTATTCATTAAAGAAATACAAATAAAAGCATCAATGAGATACCACTTCTATCAGTAGGATGAATAAAGTTGAAACACACATGATAAGTGTTTTGATGTAGAAAAGGCAAAACCACTTATCAGAAGTTAACATATGACCCAGTAATCCTATTTTTAGACACACACACACACATATATATATATATATACACATAGTTAAATAAAATTCAGACACAAATAATCATAGCATTACTATTTATAATTGGAAAAAAGAAGCTACTCAAATAGCCATCAACCAATTGATGGATAAATAAAAGAAACCAAATTCCAAACATGGTACACTACTTGGCAATAAAAATCAGCAAGATACTGATATAAGCTATGACCAAGTGAGAAGCTAAACACCACATATTAGGTGAGCCCATTTGTACAAAACTCCAGAACAGCAGATCTCAAGCACTGAAAGAACATTAGCTGTTTTCCACAGATTGACAACTGGGTATAGGAATATTTTTTAAAGTTTTATTTTGTTTTGCTTTGCAGTGCTGGGGAGTGAAGCCAGGACCTTGTGCATTTTAGGAAAACGTTTCACCACGGAACCATATGCCCAGCTGGGTACAGGAATTCTTGTTGGAACAATAAAACTGCTTTGAACATATATTGTGAGGTACAGCTGCGTAAATCCATGAAGGTATTGAAAACTACTGAACTATATGGCTGAGTTTTAGGCTGTGTGTTGCATTTTTGCTATTTTGAGACTAGGTCTCATAGAGCTCAGGCTGACCTGGAGCTCATTAAGTATTGAAAGAAGGTGACCTCCAACGCCTAACCTGCTGCCTCTGCCTCCCAATGCTGCATGTGTCACTATGCCTACACCAAACCTGGATGATTTTTAAAGTATGAAAATTAAACCTCCATTTCAAATGTACGTGATATATTCAAAATTTTAAAAGGAAAAAAATAGGTGGTGGGTCTCTGGGGTTAAACCAACGGGTGGCTCTCCCATATCAGCTCTGTGGTCTTAGGGAGTGTCTCATGTCAATGTGAACCTCAGTAAAGGATAGTGTTTTTATCACTCAGTAGGAAGGCGGGTGTGGAGAGAAGATGGAGCCTTAGGGTAACAGTGAAGGGGTGTCCAGATGAATCCCTGGGGTGAAAGCAGTGCATCCAAGTACAGCTACACTTTGGTTCTTTGTTCCAGTCTGCTGCCTAGAACAGGTGTCAAACTCTTTGATGCCAGAAGCATATTCTGCAGTGGGTGCTGACCACGCCTCTACCTTCAGGAAAGAGAAGCCTCCTTTCCGTCAGGTATCAATGCAGCAACATGTCCGTCATCACTATACCCATCCACGCTTAGATTTATAGCACAGGAAGAAGCATTTACAGTATTCCCAGAACTGAAAGAACACGAGAAGGATCCTGACAGTCAAACACAGGCCATGCTTATCTCACACTGTTCACTGGGAAATTCATTTCCTCCCACTGCCCATTAGATGCTTTGAGCTTTGCATTCTCAACAGGGTAGTGAAGAGAGATGCTGGACACTACAGTATAAACATATGCATCATTCATAATGCATTCAGATGTTTTTTAATTATTCATAGTTCCCGAAAGTTATTTGACCTATCAGGCATATATATTCAAGCAATATTTATATTAGAACCACAGCCCCACCGTACAGAATTCCAGCTCATTGGTATTCCCGTCTACAGAATTAAAATTAAATGAGTCAGGGCTAAAGAGATGGCTCCATGGTTAAGAGAACTTCCTGTTTTTCCAGAGGAACCAAGTTTGATTCCCAACACCCACATCAGGCAGTTCACAACCGCCTGTACCACCAGCTCTGGGAGGACCAAACATCTCTGGCCTCTGTCGGCACCTGCACTCACATGTGCAAACCCACACCTTTGTGATTGAAAATAGTAAGAGAGTATTTTAAAAAATGAGCAAGTCACTGGTCACTAAAAGTTCTTTGTGATTCTATAAGGCTATCCATGGTATGTTGTTCTAGGGTGGAGAAGGAAAGCTGCATGGAGTTGCTGAAGCTGACAGACTATAGGCCTTGTGATGAAGGTGGCAGTGACCCGTTAGCCTTTTCTAAGACCAAATTCCCTATTTCTCTGACTAACTGATGCTCTTGAACTTAGTCTAGAGGAGAAAAATCAAAAAACCACAGACCCCCCCACCCTCTTCTATTTAAGTCTTATTTTCTCTTTTTAAAAAAATGCTAGTATTCTGGGCTCAAAAACACCACATTCTTCTGTTTTGGTATTTGCATAAATTTGCATGTTAACATGAATGGTTGCAACTTAAAGAATGTAAAATATAATAAAATTTGAATTCATATCCAGGATGAAGAAAAGACACATTGAAAAACAACAGATTTTCACTCATGTTGATTTTTTTTTTCAGAAATCGGATTTAGGAAAGATATAAACACACAATCTTGATATAAAAGCAGGGCTGCACTCAGAAACAGGTACTGCCAAGGAGGCCCCACATACACACACACACTCACACACCATGAGTATTTGCAAATGGCAGCAATTCCTTAAACCCAAAGAACATGGCATTCCTCCTTGTGGCCCACCCAGAAGGATGAAATGTACGGAACATCATGTGAAAAACTCAAGCAAATACAAGCATGCTTTTGCCTCTGTTTTATCCTTTGATTTCCCAGTGCATTTATTCTGGGGACAGTGTGGCATGATGGCTAAATGCAGAGACAAAGGTTAGAACTCCTGGTGTAGCTAAATTTATTGGCTGTGTGACTTCTAGCCATTGATATCATCTTTAGATATAACTCCTTCATGAGCTCTCCTTTACCTACCATTTTTACCAGCTTCGTAGATTTATCATGAGAATAAATGTGAGTACAGTGCACTTAAGACAGTGGTTGGTGGGGAGCAAGAATCCAGGGAGGGTTAGCAGCTGTGTAGGGCTTGGCATGGTAACGGTACTTAGGTAATACATGCATAGGAGACAGTCTTGGGAAGGGTTCTGTCTTCTCTAATGTGCCTTCCCATTTTGTCCTCACAGTTCCACGAGGACCTCCATAGATCTAGTCACCAAGAAAGCCTGTTCCCCACGGACTCTAGTTATAAGTTGATGGCAGAAATCAAGCTCTCCTTCCATCCTGTCCATAGTCACTCCTTTTCACAGCCAATGCCCCACCACTACGGTCCCCAAATAGTACAACAGACACCAACAAAGACCAGAAAGAGTTATGAGCATAGCCTCTTACCTCATCATCCACAGGCGAATTCGCATCCAGTTTCTGAACCACCGACTTGCCACTCTCCTTCAACAGTTTCTCTCTTACTTTGGTTTCATACTCAGGCCGGGAGTGTTCCTACACCAAAGAGTCAGTAAACAGAGTTAGTAAACAGGAAGGAGAGTGACCTTGGCCTGTGGATCAGAACCACACACCACAAGTACATCAAACTGGGTTTAGGAATGGACACTACCAGACATGATTTGCCACATGACACAATTACAAGGACTCTATACCAAGGACACAAGGTTGCAGGGAGAAGTGAGACACACAACATTTATTGTCACACTGAGAACCAAACCTGGGAATGTTCCTGGGGTTGGCACCGGTGTTAAGAAATGAGAGAGAAGATGTTAACCTGGCAGCTGATGGCATGAGAAGCTATGTACTTTGTAGAACAATCTGACAATGGGAGGCGAATCCTACTGCCCCACCCCACCCCCACTGCCCTCCTGCCTCAAGCTCACTTACAAGGAGCCCAGTCCCGCCTGGAAAGAGATGTACCCCACAGCTGGGAGTTTGGGCAAGTAGCAGTATTTCTTTGTTCCTTGATTCTACAGGCTAAAATGGTAGCCAATAAACATCAAAGTCAAGGTGGTCATGGAGGAGGAATCTTAAAACTCATTGCCTGGACCTTCTACACATCATAGGTGAGCAATTCGCTGGGGAGTACAGCAGCGTGTGATTACTCAAGAGACATCAATAGGCTGTTCTGCCGGTCCAGCCTGGATTATCAGTCACCAGGCTTGGGAAAGAGCTCTCAACGAGTGAAGAGGAATGAGCATTGTCAAATCATATCACCACAGACACTGGGCCAGGAAGAGTCACAGCTCACTTCAAAGGGGAATTAGCAGTGGGCAACAGGCTTCTCCTGACAGGCCTTTGCGCAGTGGCTAGCTCCAAGATGAATTCCTAATGTGTGAGGATTTCATGTTCATGTTCATTTTTAAGCACAGCTCCTAAGGAGAATTGCAAATGGAAACAACTTCTAGATACATTATTCCAGTTCATGAAATGTGGCATCAGACCCCTAAGAATAGATTTGGGTGCCAGCAGGTTCCACTGTTCCAACAGCACACACTTCTTTGTCACCACCTATAGGGCAGAGACACTAGAGGCCAACCTGCTTAACTACCAATGATTAAGGAACATAACATATCATAGCAAGTGATAAACTGAAGTGCTTTTGCAGGCCCTCTGCCATCCCACGATCTTCTAAGGCACACTGGATCCACCCCTTCCAGGAGCCTGTCTAACCACTGTGATGTAGCCACCAGTCAAGTTCTTCTCCAGCTTCTAGAGTTATACAGCTTACAGAACACACTGCAGGCAGGCACACTGTAGCCACACACACACACACACACACACACACACACACACACACACACACATTTTGCCTTTTCTCCCTGGCTGTGCCCATGTAAGAGTCTTGTTCTCTTATGAAAGGTTGGCTTCTGTTCTGTATCCTTTTGTGTTTCTCAAGGTGAATGGTCCATGCAGAATGCACAGAAATCTCTAAACATAATTGATGCTGACTTCAGTTTGGTGTTCACCATTCTCCATCCTCCATCATGGTGTTCCCTAAGGTGTACTCCAAGAGACTTTCAGCTAAAAAGAAACTTCCAGGATAATATCTCCCAAGAAATAAGTCTTCTGAGACTCTCAGTGAGATTCTGAAAGTTCTAGAAAGCAGTCTGCTAAAGACACTTTTCCAGTATTCTTCAACTCGCCATTTCCCATGGAACAGCTTTCGGCTGTAACAATCGGGATCCTTCTGGAATAGTTTGGGAATGTGGACTCAAGTTTTCCACCCTGGCTGCTGACATCCCTTTGCTTGGCTTCTTCATTATGCCAGTGTAAGTCATAATTAAAAACTGTGGCAACACTATCTATCAGGTGCCAGAATATGTGTTTTAAACCTTGTCAAGCTCCTTGCATCCCCTATAAAGGGACTGAAGGTGACTCCAGGGCTCTCCCTCTATGACCAGCTCTAGATTTGCAATGGTTGTAGTTATGGCCCACTTCACCCAAGCTCAAACCTCATTTGTCCCTTTAGAAGAAGCCTGGCCTTTTGACACACAAAGCCCAGTTGTCCTTCATTCAGCTGAGGCAGATTAAACTAGGATATCCCTGTTTGCAGCCAAGCAGACCTGATGAGGTTGCAGACTCCCTCAAAGGCTGGGCAGATAAGCTCCTGGGCAGTGCAGAATCTAATCCACATTCAGCCACAAGCAGATCATAAACATAAACTCCAAAGATGGCTGCTCTGATGCCAAATTCCATGAATCCACAATCTCTCCAGTATGTTCCCATCTGGAAGCCTCCTCAGGAGATGGCCTGAATGAAGGCTTCAAGTCAGAGTCAGATGATCTGAGGTCAGTCAAGACAGAAGGACAAGACACTGGACACAAAGGCATTTTCCAGTCAGTCCACAAGGATATCCACCCTATACTGGCCCTGTAGGTTGGCCCTAAGGATTGGTTGCTCACCTACCTCCTGACCCTCATAAGAAAGCAAACCCCATTTTCTGTCTGTTTGTATCCCCTTTTATAAACTGGACTTGTTCCAGCCTGCTTATTCTACTCCTACATGTTGAGAGCACCCATGTAGGAGTGACAGAAGGCCAGTGGGCTGTGGCCTTGTGTGCATCAGCTCCATTCTTCTCCCTGAGAAGGTGCATGTTTCCTGGAGAAGACCACAGGGGAAAAGAGCATTTTGAGAGGATCCCTGATCCTGAGGAAAACATTTATGGCCTTGTAGGACACCTCTCTTTCTCTCCCCAATACTCAGCTTACACCCACAGCCTTCCTGTCACTTACTTGATTGTAAGTTAAACACACCTCAATATGCAATAATTTATATAAACCCCAGGATTCCTATGCCAGTTGCACACACCTTGTCAAACTGTATTCCACTCCTTCCCAGGAGACACAGATAACAATCAATGCCAACCCTGATCTGGCCACCAGATGGTATTGGTTCCTTTGCCCCTCACTGGCTCCTCACCCCTGTCTCCTTCAGTCATCACACCCATCAAGGCATCTTGGTATTACTGATATATACCCCTAGCTTGCCAGATCAGGGTCATGGTTGCTGATTCCTTCTTGGGGATGTCCCTTATTCTCTTTTGCCCATTTTAATTCAGCAAGTTTTCAAACTCCTGATTTTTCTTTGTATGATTTTATGTTTTGGTGCAAGTAAGTAACTGGAACCCAGGGCCTGGGCATACCAAGCTTCTGAGCTACATCCACAGCCTTTAAAACCATATTTTCCCTTCACTGGACCTGGGATAGCTGGTTCTGTCTCTCAGGGGAGAGCTGTTCTCCCCTCAGCACACACCCTTGCACTCAGAAAAAGGGCCCTACCCCTCACCTCACCTCACCCAGGAAGCACACTAGAGCTGACCCTGTGGTCGGGGATGCAGGTAAATCTACCCTGAGGGCATCGAGACCAGGAGAGCTAGCTGACCCTGGGAACACATCGGGATGTGGTGGCATGGTGAGAAAAAGATGCCCTCTCCCTCTCACCCATTACCACCTGCGGCGAGTGAGAGAGCTGGCCCCGGGATCATAAGAGAGTCCTGCCCCTCACCAGCTGCATCACACAGGAGCAGTCCCTTCGCCATGCCTGGACAGCACATTAGTGCTGACCCTGTTTCAGGTATACTGGTGAGCCAGCCCTATAGGCTTGAAAACAGGGAAGTTGACCCTGCTCTCCCCATACGCCCCCTTATAGCAATCAGGAGAAAGGCCTCTGCACCTTGCCTGGGCAAAACAGTATATCTGGCCCTGGCGCTGTGAGTGTGGGTGACCTGGATCTCAGGATGAGAGCAGGAGAACTGGTCTACCTTATTGCTGCAGGCTGCATTGGGTGAGCTAGCTGAGGCAGTGCTAGAGAGCTCACCTGGGTAGTGATGAGGAGGGACGGTTGGCAGTCTGACCAATGCAGATACCCAGAACCGTCCTACCCCAACTATGATCTGTTGGAACATGGGAAGGGAATGAACCTACAGATCCAGAACAGAAAGATCTCCACAACACAGGATAACAACAGAATATCCAAGAGGAGACCCAGTGAGAACCCATTACTAGTGTCATAGCAGAAGCCAGAGGTCTCGAGCCAGACCAATGACTCCTGGCAATGAACATTTGCAAGTAAAGATGAATGAACTAAAGTGTAAACCATGTGACTCCACAGGCCATACTACAACTTCCATGACAAGGTTACAAGGTTGTTCTCTCTCTCTCTCTCTCTCTCTCTCTCTCTCTCTCTCTCTCTGTGCCTGTCTCCCTATGTCTCTGTGTGTGTGTGTGTGTGTGTGTGTGTGTGTGTGTGTGATTGTTTGGTGTTTTGGTTTTTCTTTTAAATTTGGTTTCTTTTTGGGGGGCAGTACATTGCAAGGACAGAGGACAAATGCAAGGGACAGAGAGGTAAGTGGGATTGGGATGCATGCTGTGAAGTCAACAAAGAGTCACTAAAAGTTAAAAAAAATTTCACAAAAGGATTTTCTCTTCATGTCTTAGCCAGAAGAAATTTCTCTGTAATAGTCTCCCCTCTACTCTAAATATTTACAGACCAAGGAACACTTTTTTGAATGGAACCCTTTGGGGCTCAGGGACTGAATTCCATATTCTACATTCAAGCTTGGAAAACAGTACATGATTAAGGTCTATGTTAAAAACTAAATGGAAATGTAGGTGTGCTGCAATCTGAGTCCAAAATAAGAATGCCATGAAGGTGATGCTGAGCCTGACTTCCCTTCCTCGAACACTGGCTGCAGGCAGCACAAAGTGAAACCATACAGAGAAAGTCCACTAGGAATGTTTCCAAAACCACAGGCAAACCCAACCTTGCCCAGATCCCACCCTGCCTGCATTGAAATTCCCCACTCACGTACCTCCCAAAAAGTTGCCCTGGCTCATTGGGTTAATCAAGAAAACAGGAAACTTGGCTATAAGAAAAGCAAAATGATTCTAATCCCACTCATGCCCGGATCCTAGGGCAGATTTCAAGGACACTGTGTCATCACTGTCTGCAAGCCCTCTCCAACAGAGAACCAGCTTGTCTCTGGTGTACACAGGCTTGTGTGGCTTGGTGTTTCTTTTCCCTTCCTTTGGAGACATTTCACTTCATGGTATTAGGAATGCAAGAGGTGCTTACACCTACCTCCCAATACCCAGCCACACCCCTTTCACTCCCTTCTCCCCGCCCCCCGTTCCCTATTTATGCTTTGACATCAAGTAAGACTAATAGGATCAATATGTCCCAACTAGATCTCGCATAGTCAAGCTAACTTCTATAGTTCTTTCTGTTGAAACTGTTTCTGATAGTCTTTGCTGCCTGTCTCCCAGCCAATTTGAATCTGTAGGACACAATTCATAATGCACAGTCCATCATTGCTGCAGAGCCAATGGTAGCACTGGGTCCATATGTGGTGCTTAGCAGGGAAGATTGGAATAAGGTAGGAATCGTGGAATGTAGTAGGATAGGGTACAACCTATTGGAGACCTTTTCTAAACTTTTTCTTCTTATTGTATATATATGGGTGTTTTGCCTGTGTGTATATTTGTATATCACTTCCATGATTGGTGCCCATGTGAGTCACCATATATAAAACTAGCATTACTGATGGTTGTAAGGCCCCATATAGATGATGGTAATCAAACTCAGGTCCTCAGGAAGGCCAGCCAGTGCTCTTAGCACTGAGGCATCTTTCCAGCCTTTGAAAGCCTATTTCAGGTAGGGAAAGGCTACATTAGCATACCTGTCCCTTTAGAGCATGAGTCAATCCTGTCCTGGATTGGTAGGTTGCATTCCCCAAGCTGCTGTACAGCCCCAGCTCAGACCAACTGTTTAAGGCATGTTGACTAATTATAACACTAAAGATATGAAATGATAGCGTACCAGACTTGGGGGCAACACGGGCTTGAAAACAAGACTAAATTGGAAACTTCACTTATTTTCTCTTACACTATCAGGGCCATATAACAAGAGCACAAGGCAAAGAGCATCAGTCGCCATAGGACAGTGGGGAGAACTGTCTCCAGCAGCCACTGGAACATCTATGGCTTGCCTTGCAAGTTAGTACTCAGACAGTGGAATGGCCCCTGGACCTTCCAGATATAGTCCCTCACTGTTATCCAAAGTGCTCACAATACCAGAGTTCCTATGTGATACTCACTTTTGTCCTCAGCCCATGAGCAACACCCAGTATTAGTAACCCTTGCAGACTACAATGCTCATCTTATCAATGGCTCATGCGCTAATTCTCTAAAGAGCTGAAAAGGAAGGCTTACTTTTTTACAGACCTTAACTATCGCCTACCCCACCCCACACCCTCTAATTCAGCTTGGGGCCCATTCTGGAGGTATCTACCCTTCGCCTTTAGCTTGTTTTCTCAATTCACAGTCTAATGAACCCTGCCAAAGTGACTTAATGGATCTTTCTTTGTTAGTTGCCCCAGAAACCTTCACCCACACCTCCCACGCTTCCCCAGATTGATGTTCTATAGACTCATGGGAATTTTCCAAAGTAGACTACTGGGCCCTGTTATAGTCTCCAAAGCCTACATCTTAATAACCTGAAGGAAGAGTCTGAACACCCAAGGAAACAGTTGAACTCTCCTTAGTGCTTATAAACCACGGCATGGCCAACAGACCATGAGAGATCCAGCCCGTGACGACTGATGAGACAGCAAGCTTTCCGTGACTATCTCACTTCAGAGCATCTGCTTCTAAGATCCAACGAAAGCAAGGGCCCAGGGCAGTGTGCAAGGGACTCACTTCTTCCTCTTCTATTCCAGTCAGGTCCCAGAAGTAGCCCAGCCGCATCTGCAGTCTCTTCCAGTTTTCCAGAAACATGGTAGCTTAAAAAGAAGGAAAGCATTCTATTGTTTATGAAGATTGGATTCTGGGTAGGCTTTGGGTTTACCAGTGCATGTGAGACCAAATTCCAATTCAGAAGCTCTTGTTAAAGCATTGAGCCCTGTGGCTCTCTGCCTGGAGCTACTCAAAACACTCCCACAGTGCCTACAGATACACAGTCATCTGCCACTTATGAAGGGGAATTATTTTGAGAAATTCATCAATAGGCAATCTTGTCATCATATGTACCTATGCAGACAGTTATAAAATCATTGAGAAATATAGTCCTAAGGGGCCATTTTGGATGTGTGGTCATTTATCAATGATCACATTATTCAATCACATATGACTTGTATTTAAAAAACAAATGAACTTTTCCTCAATCTAGATTCTGGAGAAAAAGGATACTTATGTCAAGAAATGAGGGAAATTTTGAAGGATAAGTGAAGGCAAACTGGAGGGGAAGTACAGTTTGGATTTAAAATATCATCCAAAAGCTATATGCTAAAGACTTGGTTGCCCATTGGTGGGCTTTTGGGAGATGATTAGATCATAGGGGCTCACATCTCATCAATAAGTTAGTCCATTGATGGTTTAATTATGTTAAGATCTATTGAAAGGTGATAGAGCCTTAGGAGATGAGATATAGTTGGAAGAAATGGGTCTCTTGGGGTACGCTCAAAGGGACAATATTTTATCCCCTGATCCCCTCCTTCTGTTTTTCCTTGCTTGATGGTCACTGTGAGATTAGAAGTTTCCATCACACATTCCTACAACTATGACATCTTCCTTTTAGGTCCAAAGCAATGGAGCCAGTTAACTGTGGGCTCAAACCTCAGAAACCACAGTGCAAACAAATGTCCTGTCCTTGAAGATGATTTGGAAGCTGGATTACATGAGTTCTGTAGTCTGTTTAATAAGCATGTGCAGATTATCTCTGCCTGAAGCTTAGTCATAACTCTTGCTTCTCCCCTGCGCAACTTATATGCCTCTCTCTTGCTTTCTTTCAATAAATCTCTTGTGTTTTAAGCAAGCATTGGTCACCTTCTAATTTTTCAGAAATAGCCAACCCATACTAAAGCATCTTCAGTGAACACAATGCTTTAGGCATTGTGGTCTAGGCTAGATGGATTTGCTGTTTGTCATACTCTGCACAAAGCAGCCATGGCCTTTGGAACAACACTGACAAAAAGCCATGGGCATCCAGAAAGGAATGCTAGCTGCTGGAGGGGTCAATGGAGTTAGATTCTAACAAAGGATTCTGGCAATGAAAATGGGATAGGCAGAGGGAAAATGAATTCCCCTGACTAAATTCATGGATCTTTGCGCTCTCAGCTCTCTCTGGTGTATCTCACCCAGACCTTGAACCCCTCCCATCATTTCCTAACGTGCCTCACACCTGCATTGCTGCTCTACTCAGTCCCCTCCATCTTCAGTCTGTGTCAGTCATCCCCATCTTCCCCTTCATCCTCCAGGTTCCTCTTTCAGCCTATCCTGGCCTAGTCCATGTCACTCTTCCTCCATAGCCCTATCTTCATCATGGTCATGGCATTGGAAAAGAATGGGATGTGACCTCCCCCAGAGTCATCCCTCTAGCTCTATACTGTCCCTGATGCCAGCCAGGTGTCCCTCACTCCACACCATGCTGTATTTTTGGATGCCATCTCAGGTCTATGGTGCTGCAACAGGATTGAAAACTCTTTCTGAGATCCCAACAACCTGTGTTTAACTCAGGCACATCACAGGACAGAGCATAACTCCATGCTGTCTTAATGTGCAGCTACTCAAAGCTACCTTATTTGCTTGCAGCTACATCATGCTGCCATGATGTGTAGTTTTCCCCCTTGAACTTGAAGCTTTTGTTCCTGTGAGTGCATATTACTTCCTGAGACTGACATTGCCCTGGGGACACTGTCCTGTTACCCTCCACAGCAGATATACATAGGGCAGGACTCGGAGTACTGGTCAACTAGCCTCTCCGTGGAAAAGTGGAGAGCAGGCTGTGAGCATGCAGAAGAGAAGCCAGGGAGCAATGAACAGAGGCATCATGCGGGTGACGGAAAAGGAAGGATGCCATCACACTCAGCTTACCTTTAGGTACAACACTGATGCCAGGGACTAAGCTATCTTCTTTACACACAGTCTTACCCATCATCACAAGAATACTACAGGGAATGTGATTTCACCCAGTTTATGGGTGTGGACACAGCTTAAGCACATGCCAAAAGTAACCAGGCACCACCTTGGCTAAGAGCACTGACTTCAGGGACATTTAGTAACTGCAGATAGAACCTGGGCTCCATTCGCTGGCTTTGGGGCCCACAGCTGATGAGGAACAGAAGCAAGATAATTTGAAGACTGCCTAAGCCTTAGCATAGCTTTCTCTGCCTCTATTCAGAGTGATAAGCCCTAGTTTTTTGTCACTGCTGATAGAACTCCATCTCCTACTACAAAGGCCAGATCTGCAATGGTCTGGGCAGACACTCTGACAGTCTGGGATCTGCAGACTAGCATCTTCATGATGCAGGCATCTTCAAGCCCTATTCTCACTGTCACCTGACCTGCCTCTCTACTCAGAGATGCTTCTTTCCAGCCCATTCCTGGCAAGCCTGGGCCACCCGACACTGCACTACTAATCATAACAATCATGGTAATGAGAGGCATTACTGTAATTTTTAATTGTAATTTGTAGGCAATCATGCCTAAGGCTTTTGGCTGCTGCACTTAAATACATAATCACATAAAACACAGCAAGGCTGAAAAACAAAACCTGTCCTAAACTAGGAAGCCCTGAAGCCCTGATACAATCCCACCTCTATGTACTTTCCAGGGACAGGGGCAGTAAATTATTGAGGCTTTATTTACCGAAGCTATTGGGTACAGATCATAGGCAGTGGTTGGGGCTTGAGACTGACTGTGAAACATAGCTGAAAACCTCACCTTGCTGCAGGGAGTGGTGTGTCTCAGGAAAGTTCATGCGAGACCATGGGCCCAGGCTTTAAAGTGATGGCCACTCCACGGTGGTAGTACCAACAAAACAAATGAATAGGAACTGGGTTTGCACTAAGTTCAAAATTGAGAGCATAGTCTGGGTTCCAGATTGGCTCAAGGGGATCTCAGCATGGTTACACATGTTGTGCTGGGTGGGAGACATTGGTGCCTGTGGCTTCCCTGGCAGCCAGCTGATCTTTAGTTTGTTCTGCTGACCGGCAAATCACAAGTTCCATCCTGTCTTGTACTCTGCTATCTTGAATGGCTGCCCAGGTACCTCTGGGAGTCCCCTGAGACTAAGAACTAGAGTGCCCTCTGGAGGTGTTTGGTGAAGACCTGCAAAGACAGAATCTTTCCACTCAAGTTTTGTCTCCCCCAAGAAGAGATTCACACTGGGAAAGGAAGAAATCTGTGATACTCTTCCCTGGATACCACTGAGAACTGTCCTCCTCTTTCTCCCAATCTTCCACTCTCTCCTCATCCTCTTTGTCCTCTTCCTCTGTTCCTTATCTTTTAGGAGCTCAAGACTTGGCCTGCAGTGGTAGGTCCTCCAACCTCTGCAGAGGTGGGAATAAATCAAGTGGGCTCTGCAGCAGAACTATGGTCCATCTGAACTTTGATCCAGTGGACCAGGGAGGTCCTAGACTTTCACCAGTGAGTACAAACCAGGCAGTAATAACATGTTGACTTGAGCTTTTTATAATTGCACAGGGCAGTGCCATTCAGAACTATACAGTTACTATGGAGAGGATGTCCCAGTTACTAAGAACACTTTGTGTGTGTGTGTGTGTGTGTGTGTGTGTGTGAGAGAGAGAGAGAGAGAGAGAGAGAGACTGAGGTAGAGAACATGTGTGTGTGTAAGAGAATGAGTGAGCTGTGTTTGTGAGAGAGATAGACTGTGAGTGTGTATGTGTGTGTGTGTGAGTGAGGGAGAACGTGTGTATATGTGTGTGAGGGAGAATGTGTGTGTATGTGTATGTGCATGAGTGCATGAGAGAGATGGGGTGTGTTCAGATGAGTACAGTGCAGAGTGAGTTAGCTATGCTGATGCTCCAAGGAGAATGTAGGAAAAGGAAAATGAAGTAACTGTTCTCTCTTTCACAAATACCTTTGGTGAGAATATTGAAAACACCACTTTTATATTAAACAAAATCTCCTCAGTCCATACTCATGGGGTGCAGAAAATAGTATAGAACCCAAAAGTCAAGAGACCAGATTTTAGCCCATCTTAACACCAACTGTCCCCCACCATGGCAGCACACCAGCATTCCAACTCTGTACCGCAGTCTCTATGGCTTCATATGGCTAGGGAAACGTTCAGTTGCCTTATGGGTTGCCAGTGGGTTTTAGAACACACATATGCTCAAGTTCCTTGTAAGTCATACATGAGGCCAGTGTGGAGTCAACATTACTCCTCTAAGAGAAAGCGTAGAGAGCCATAAAGGATATTCCTACTTTTACTTCCACACATACCACCAAAGAAAATACTTCAAGTATGAAGAAAACAAGTTGACAGCTATCTCCTTCAAGTCCTGGTCACTGTACCTGTTAAATATGGACCCTACTGAGCAAACACTGTGATGACAACTTACCCCACAGAGCCATGAAGATGGAAAAGAAGACGGTGGCTGGGTTATCGAACAGATGACTAGCTCGTGCAGTCCCACAGGCTGAGCTGAGGTTCCAATAGTCACAGGACTTGTCACACAGGGGACACATGGTAAAGGCATTCTGGTGGTCACACATCTCTTTGCTGCAGTGACAGGGGTTGCTGGGTTAGGGTTGTGTTTGCTCTTATCAAAAGGTAACAAAGAACGAATGAGCCACCTCGTGATGTTGGTAGCTCTCTATCACTATACACTTCCCAGAACATCGGTGATCACCTCCAAGTATGTGCACTGAATGTGGCTGAGAAAGGCCCCTCAGGATGTGTGCCCCATCTCTATGGTTGCTGGGGGACACACACACGACTGTGAACAAAGCGCCATACTACGCTTGGATTTCATTCATTCTTCAAGTACAGAATGTCCTCTTCTGCCCTACTGCGCTGCCTCACAAAAGTGTGACCTGGTCCCAAGCAGAAACAAACATGAGCACATGACAGGGCTAGCACAAGCTTTAGCCCCTGAAGCAGTGGCTCTCAACTTTCCCAATGCTGCAACCCTTTAATACAGTTCCTCATGTCATGATGACCTCCAACCATAAAATTATTTCGTTGCTACTTCACAAGTGCTACTTTTACTACTGTTGTGAATCATAATGCAAATATCTGCTATGCAGGATATCTCTTAAGTGCCCCCCCTCCGCAAAATGGGTTGCAACCCTCAGGTTTAGAACCACTGCCCTGGAAGAAGCATATGAGGAAGAATGCTCACAACTGTGTCAAAAGTAAGTTTCCACCATCAGTGTCTGTAAGCCATTTGTGTAACAGAGACTAAAAACCTCAACCTACTAAGAATTATGACAACCATGAAACAGGATTAGGAAGAATAAAAAGGAAGGTAAATCCTTCCAAGGACTAGATTTGCCTACAGTCAGAGAAGGAAGCATGAGCCAAGCCACTTTAATGGCCCGTGTGCTAGCCCATTCTAAATATATTTCTGTTTAATAGACTGGTGAATATATTCACAATTAATTAAGTCATGCTGGATCCAATAAGTTAAGGCTCATGTGCACACTTTCAAATAAGAATCAAAGAATTAACATCCCTGGGTGATGACCTTAATATTCCTCTATTACCAAATACTGGTAGGAAAAATGAATTCATTGCTCTTGTGTACAGTATTCCCTTCATGGGCATAAGTAAAGAGTTAGGCATGTGGTTCAGGGAGAAAGGGTGGAGGGCTCAGGACTCTGTGCAAGTAAGACATAGGCCTTTCTCACCCCTCAGCTGGAGCCAAGATGCTAAAAGGCACACCATAGCTGTGTTCACTACAGAAAGAGGCAGAAGGGGGTGTTGGATAGCACAGCTTATTAGGGGAGATCACTGTCCCCTGAGAACTCCCTTAGCTTGTGAGTACAGCAAGAGCTTTCAAGAAACCCAGGAAGCAAAGGATGGCTATGTCAGCTTTCCCTCCACAAGGCAGTTGGAGAGTGGGAGATTTACTGGAGCCTGTCACTTTTTGTAAACCCGCTTTTGTCATGGTTTTAAAATTATTTATTTATTTTTGTTTTATGTGCATTGGTGTTTTCCCTACATGTGTATTTGTGTGAGGGTGCCAGATTCCCTGAAACTGGAGCTACAGACAGTTGTGAGCTTCCATGAGGGTACTGGAAATTGAGCCCAGGTCCTCTGGAAGAGCAACCAGTGCTCTTAACCTCTGAGCCATCTCTCCAGCCCCCCAGCTTCTGTCTTTAATTTGTTAAGTCCCCATCAGGGAAAGACCTTCTGTGTTAGAGTGTGGAAAACCTAGGTCTCTGAGGAGAAACCCACCCCCTCCACTCACTGGCTGCTGAGTTCTCCTTTGGCAAGTGTCAATAAGCATGACTTTCTCAGAGAAAATTATTAAGGGGTGATATCTTAGCAATACATCCAGTGCTGGTCACACTTCTTTACAATCTCATGAAACTAGAAAAAAAGGTTAAATTTCAAACTTCTGAGTCCCACAACCCATAACTACACAGTTATAAAGTGCTGCAACATTCAGAGAAGAAACTAGATCTACATAGAAGATAAGCTGTCTGTGCCAATTCAAGCTAAGAGCTGATCTGCAGCCATGTCTAAGAGCTGATCTGCAGCCATGTCTAAGAGCTGATCTGCAGCCATGTCTAAGAGCTGATCTGCAGCCATGTCTAAGAGCTGATCTGCAGCCATGTCTAAGAGCTTGGTTCCCTCACACTGTCCTTCGTGCATGTATGTGCATCTGAGACATTTGCATGTCTCACTTTACATACTTACATGCCAGGGAAACACAATCTCACTCAATCTAATTTTATCTGAATCTCATCAATGCCAGAAAGTTAGGAATGAAGGATTATTAAGATGATCAACCAATGTTGTGCAAAGCACTTTAAATACATGCCATGCACTGTGCCAATTACTACCTTTAAAAATTCAGATGCAGGCATCTGTCCATAATTTGTACAAAAAAGTAGCATGGATTCTTCTCGAATTGCTTGAATTTGAAGTCAAAATGCTTGATATGTGTTAGGAGTTTTGATACGAGTAATTTAAGAGAATTTAAAAGAAATTGAATACTGGAGCAGCATTAAAGGGACTGTGGGTCTTGAAAAGGCTGTTTGTGGACAAGTTGAAAGATGAGGAAGCCCACTCAAGATGGAAATCATTTCAGACTTATGCACCAGCTTCATAAAAGATACCCAGATTTCTAGAGAGAAGTAATTGTGGCTGTAAATCGAGTGCTTATTTCTCCAGTCTATCATTTCTTTCTAGAAAAGCTAGAAAGGTTGATAAATGGCCCTGCCAATCAGCTGAATGAAGACCCTAAAGCAAATGAGGTTTGAAGAGCGGATGAATGAGAACGGTTAGGGAAACAAGACACAAAGCTGGGAGGCACAGGGAGGCCGGGTTCCAGGAAATCCAGACCGAACATCTGATCTTAAGGCCTCAGAGCTGAAGTAACTGGCTTCCCTTTCCACTATGGTTTAAATTAATCAGCTGTTTTTTTTAGAATGTTCCAGACTTCTCCATCATGTAAGTACTTAGCAAAGGAAACCAATCTCTCTGGAGCAACATTCTCTAGGTATCCTATGAACATGTAGAAATATTGCTGCTCAAATCTCTTCTATCAAACATTGAGGAATAAATGTAATTACAGCTTCCTGGGATTGGTGTGACTTTTCGGGTTTGAGGCTGCAGTAGAGTTGTAGCAAACATGAGCTCTGGGAAAACTAGGTAAAGAGCCACTAAGTTCCTCTGTCCTTTGCACATTACTAGGACTAAATAACTTAAAAACCAAAAATGTTTTGGAACCAGAACATAGTGAATTACAGCTTGATACCCAAATTAGCAATGTCTAAAACAATCCACTCAATGGTGTGTTTCTTAGAAGATGATAGTAGATTGAAACTATAATCAACAGCAAGAGGAACTTCTGAGATTGTAGCAACACATGGGGATTGAAAAATACACTTTTGAGCATCAGGTCATCAAAGTGATTATCAGAGAGCACTTAAATTCCTATCAGTAAATGAAAAGGAAAAACAGCCCACAAAACTAAGAATCTGAGAAACTGAAAAAGAAAATTTTAGAAAGAAGTTTATGGCTATGTGTGCCTATGGTATAAAAAGAGACAAAACTTAAATAAACAACACAATAATGAGTCTCAAGACCTTAAAAATAGGAACAAATCAAACCCCAAGTTCCTGGCAGGAAAGAAGTAATGAAGACAGGAGCAGAAATGAGTAGAAATGGAAGTAAAATATCTGGACAATCAAAATGGCAGCAGAAAGGAGGAAGTGATGACGCGGAGCAACCTGCAAAGCTTTATGGAGCTTAGTGTAGTTTTTGTCCAGTGCTCCTCAATGCTTATATTTTCCGTGAGTGCAGTTTCAAAGCCATGGAGTTCAAAGTTACCCTCTGCTATACGGAGAATTTAAGATTGTCTAGACTGAGGTCTGTTTCAAAAACCAAAAAACCCAACAGTGAATTTAAAGAAAAGCAACAACTAAAGGAAAACATGGGAAACAAAGATTTCTACTCAGGAAGCTGGAGAGGTGGCTCAAGGGTCTGAGCTCTTGCTGCTCTTCCAGAAGACCCCCAACTCAGGTCCCAGACTCAGATAAGGTTTCTATAAAACAGTTAATCCAGCTCCAGGAGATCTGGGGCCACTTTCTGGACTCAGTAGGCACAAGATACACATACACACATACACATACATGTACTACATACACATGTGCACATACACACAAAGTAACAAGTATACCTAACACACAAATAAAAAATAAAATAGAACTAAAACTATCATATACTCCAGTTACACCACTTCTCTCTCTGTCTCTGTCTCTCTGTCTCTCTGTCTGTGTGTGTGTGTGTGTGTGTGTACACATTTGATCAAGAGACCAAACCTGAGAAGCCTTAGTGCAGAGATAAGAAACCTTAGTAGCTGATATTAAAAACTAAAGACACAAAAAAGCAATTCAAACATCAAATTTCCCAAATCTAGGGAAAGCAATGGACCCAATATCACAAGATGTACAAAGGACCGCAGATAGACAGATCAGACAAGAACTTCCCCAGGACACATTGCCTCAGAATGCTGACTATGAATCAAATAAAAAACACTAACAACTGCGGTACAAAACCGTCAACACAAACACAAATGTAAGCCCCTCAGAATACAGTCAGACATCTACGAGCAAGCATGGCACAAGTTGCTCCTATTAGAAACAAACAAGAAGAGAGGTGTCCTGGATGCAGAAGGGTAGTTGGGAAGGAAGGATACCTGGTGGAGAGGGGATGGGAATAAAGATGAGTGGATAGTCAAAGCATGACGTTTATGTGTGTGTGCATGCGCATGCATGCGTGTGTGCGTGTGTGCGTGTATATGTGTCTGTGTACGCATGTGCATGTGTGAAACTGCCACAATAAAATGCATTAATTTGTATAATTAATGTGACTCCATAATACAATAAGAACAGTGGAAGAGTTCAATCATACTCAAGCATTGCTGAAAAAAATCTTAAGGAGTATAATCTTCTCAAAATTCACAGCTAGGATTTAAAATCCCTCTGTTGAGCAGGAGCAAATATGTGTAGCTTCATTGGACCCCTAGAACCTGGACTTCATATTCTGAGAATTGGTCTTTGGGATTAGGGGTGCAGCTTAGTGACCTTGTGTGTTATGTGTTGCCTGGGTTTGATGGCCATCACTAAAAACAAATAACAAAACAAGATCAGGCCTCGTTCAAAAAACACAGAAAATATTTTTCTATTTTTTACCTCTTTCTGGATTTCAAACACTTACTCTTGACTCTCAAAATCAACCATCAAAATTTCAATCAGATGTCCACTGATTTCAAAGCTTTTTCATTGTGACTTACAATTTAAAATTATATGTGATCACAGGATGAAAATACAAATATATAACTATATGCAAATATAGCATGGTAGACACTTGTCCTTCCTGCTTGTAAAAAACACTAATATTTCATTTTATTGTATCCTATCTTATCGTGATAGTTAATGTTTATTGTCAGTCTTACTGGATTTAGGATGGTGTGGAAGACACACGTGTGGGCATGTCTAAGAGGACCATTTCATAGAGATTTAACTGAAGAGGGAAGACCCACCCTGAATGTAGGCAACATTCAGTGGACTTGGGTCCTGGACTGAACAGAAAGAACACAAGAGGATAACGTGAGCACCAGTATCCATTGCTCTCTGCTTGCAGACTGTGGATGCATGTGATTAGCTACCTCATGTTCCTGCCACCACGATGGACTGTGCCCCCTCAAACCATGAGTTACAATAAACCTTCCTTCGTTGCCTTTTCCAGATATTCTGTCACAACAATAAGAAAAATAACTAATATGTTATTCAACTTGTCTTCATTCAAGAGCAACTAGCACATTGCTCTTCATAGGTAACAGAACACAGCACACTGTCAGCTATACTTTTATATCACAATAATAGCAACGCACCTTACATTTGTGCATATTCCCACACATATGTGACTATATGTGCACATGTGGTGCACATGCTTCTGTGTAGACACAGCATCATGGCATATTCAGGTCATGTAGGAAAATCTTCTATAAGGCTATGGTCATTTCCAGCCAGAAATTCAAACTCTTGTCTCTTACACTGATTTACTTAACTTTGCTCTTTACAGTGGTGGCAATGCTAGCTCCAGTTTGCTTTGTAAATTGGTCTCTATAGCATGGGTATGGAAAAACTAGCCTCCAGGTTCCTCACACTAGGGGACACCATTTCCTCCTCAAGTCCAGTTCTTGCCCTTTCTTCAGAATGGCCATCATATCCCCCACTACTGTAGCTTTTTTTTCCTTACTCTTTTGGGGGTCCTCCACCCAACTTCAAAATAAACACATGGAGACTTATTCTTACTTATGAATGCCTTGGCCTGTTGCTGGACAGCTTTTCTAACTTAAATTATCCCTTCTCTCTTTAACTACATTTTACCTCTGGGTCTTTTACCTTTCTTTTAGTCTATGTGTCTTTCTTTCCTTCTTACTCTGTGGATGCTTTGTGGCTTTGTGGCTTACCCCTAGCATCCTCCTCACCTTTTACTTTTCTGGCTTCTCTCTCTTCTCTAAATTTTCTTATCCTATCTACATGCCAGCCCCTCTCCTACCTAGCTATTGATCATTCAGCTCTTTATGACCAGTCATAGTTTTACAGAGTTAAACAAATACAACATAAAGGAATGCAACACATTTTTGCATCACTAAAAAGACAACTCCACAGAATAAATGAATATAACACATCTTAAACTAATATTCCATGATACAGTACTAAACCAGAGTGAACATTCATAGTCTCTCCCTGGAGTCCTCAGTTCATCTTGTTACCAACAATACATCATGTTGCTACAGAACCGAGTACCACTGTCATAATGCATCCCATCTCTAACTAAGACAAACTGAGCCAAGGGAACTTTTAACACTAACACATAGCACTAGAAGGTGGCTCAGAATGTGAACTGTCTGGTCATGTAAGTTCTTATGATTGTTTTATGCTCCTTCTCCTTCTTTTTCTTTTACTTTTCATGGTTGTTGGTGGCAGTGTGTTGTTTTTCTAAACTTTGTTGATGTTGTTTCTGGTAGATTTTCACTCTGTATGCTGAGATGATTTCAAATCAAGGCCAGCTCAAAATCCTATCAATCCTCCTGCATCAGCCTCCCAAGTGATACTGAGATCAGATGTAGTCACACAGTTCATGTATAATGCCACCAGCAATTGATAAGTACTTTCGTTCTTCACAGACCTTCTCTTTCCCACAAAGATGAGCCTTTTTTAGTCTTGGCTCTACATGAGACCTAACATCTGCTCTGCTGTGTCCTTAAGTTCTGGCATTATGAGCCTAGCATGGCCTTTCCTTGTAGCCACTTCTTACAGCATTGCTACAATATATGACCACATGGACATGTGACTTATCCAATGATATTGCACACACTCTGACATGAGTTTTATGAGAAGCCCGAAGGCAAATGTTGTGAAGTTAAGGGGCAAAACCATTTATCTGGTATGATTCCTTTCATCAAGTGGTATTTGCTGGTCATATCAGGCTTTGGCCCCAGGGAATAGATTGATGAGGAATGGAAGATGACCATGATAACTAGCACGACTCTGCAACCATTCCCAAAACCTGCAGCTCCAGATCTAATTCTGGAGGGAAGTTAGATGTGTGGGAAGGAATGTGGGACAGAGAGGGAGGACGTTGGAAAGAGGTGTGTGAAATGTACTCAGAGCTGGGGCAGAAGTCCAAACTCTGACCTTATGGGGATGGAGTCTTGTCTCTAAAAGGGACTTACCTGGGAATATCTTCCTCAATTGTTGCACATCCATAAAGAAACACGATCACCCCAATGACAGAAGATGGGATAAGGAATGATGTATACAATCCCAGCCAAGCAAAATAGAGCCCAATTTTCTCTCCAAAATACTTCCTGGAAAACCAAGAAAGAAAAGAAAATGAAACACATATTAGAAACATCATATACTCCCCATATTTCTTTTTGTCCTATGACTTAAAATAGATTGGCAAAAATACTCACTCTTTTTGTAATGAATTCAAAGGGATGGAGACTATGGGGGAAAGGGCCTCTGCACAAAAGAAATCAGCAACTGATCTTTGCTAAGATGGAGTACATTCCACTTGACTCACATATACGAATCAGCCTTGGTCATTTGTGGGAAGTAGAGAGCTACAAGGGAAAACCCAGCCCTAACAGCAAACCAAAAATATTCTGCCAGTTTCAGAATCCTCACCAGCATGAATAGTACATTACCATTCTAGAGCCACATGGTTCAACCCACAGAAAAGCACACAATTTAAAAACAAACTCATTTTAAATAAATTATATAAGTCATACATAGGTAGGCATGTGTACTAATGTACATAAACCAACCTATGCAACTTTAAAGAATTATTAGAAGAAATTCAATAAAATATTTGTAAAGGTGTAACAGAAACTTCTGTCTACATAAAGTTTTATTTGGGTGGGTGATTTTTATTTCTTTATTTTCTGAACCACTTTATTGAGGCAGATGGATGTACAAAAAGCTATAACTAATGTATATGACAAGTCACCATGGCACACTCCTCCCCTCCAAATACCCTTTCTTTGCTCCCTTTTTAAAATATATTTTTCTCTTGTGTTGAGAGTACTCCCATCTTAGCAAAACTCTATTTATACTCCCCAGTGTTATTCATTACAGGGTGCTGTCTATATGATGGGACTCCAGAGCTTACACATACTACATTACTAGAACTTTACACCCTCTGCCTTACATCTTCTGTTTTCCCCTTGATGTAACACTGGTAACCACAATCCCACACTCAGATTCTACATGTCCTAAAATACTAAGTTCCTCAAAGAGGTGACATCACACAGCATTTGTACTACTGCCTGGCTTATTTCACTTAGCATAGTGTCCTCCAAGTCCAGCCATATGGTTACGAATGTTAGGGCTTCCTCTTCTTGTGAGGCTGTACAACACCTCTTTGTATCATGTGCCCTGTTTTGTTTACCCATGCATCTGTGGATGGATATTTGGATTATTTCTACTTTTGGACAACAGTGAGTCATCAAGCTGTAAACATGGGAGTGAGCATCTCTCTTCAAGATCCTGACCCCAATTTCTTGGAATATATGTCCAGAAGTGTGATTGCTACATCAAATGATAACTCAATTTTTAGAGAACATGCACAATGTTTTCCACAATGTGCTTCCCCAATGTGCTTTTCCACCACCAGCTATCTCTACCTACACATCTTATCCTTTGATACTAACCAGTCTAACAAATAGGAAATAATATCTCACTCTGGTTTTGTTTCATATGTTTCTGATGACTAATGATGGAAATTTTCATTTTTATTGGCTATTTGCATGTTTTCTTTGGTGAAATGACTACTGGGTTACCTTCAGTATTTAAGTGGATTTTTAATAATCTAATCTCTCTCTCTCTCTCTCTCTCTTTCTCTCTCTTTCCTTCTATGATTAATTGGGTTTTTAATTTTCTAAGTTCTTTCTCCCTCCCTCCTTTCATCTCCTCCCTCTCTTATTGAGTTATAAGATTTTCTTGAATATAAGTCCTATGCCAGATCTTTGGTTTGCAAGTACTTGCTCTTACCTGGTCTCTTTTTTAATAACAGAAATCAGGAATTAGATATTTATTCAATGTACCCACATTGAAAAGAGGGACAAAGAGATCTAGTCACCCTTATGCTCATCTTTAGGGTCCTGAAGTGAGACAGACTGAGAACACTTTGTAGAATGATATAATTATACTTGTCTACTTTTACTTTTATTGTCTAACTGCAGCATCTGTGAGATTCCCCCCATGTTTTCCTCTACTAGTTCCAGTGAGTAGGTTTCATATAGATCTAACACATTTGAGTTGATCTTTATATAATGTAGGAAGTAAAAACCAGGTGTATTGGTGTACGCCTTTTATCCCAGCACTCAGGAGGCAGAGGCAGAGATATCTGTGAGTTCTAGGCCAGCCTGGCCTACAGATTGAGTTCCAGGACAGCCAGGGCTATTATATAGAGAAATCCTGTCTCATACCCCCTCCCATCCAAAGAATTAAATATCTAGTAATAAAATTAGCCAAGGAATAAAAGACACACAAAAAACTTTAAAACTTTTGACTACAGAAACCAAAGAAGATACAAATAAATGGAAATAGATACCTTGTTCTCATGGATTATAGAAATTAATACAACTAGTTATTAGAAAAACTTAATAACACATGCAAAATTGTAATTATTTTGTATTCTCTTTTGTCTTCTGTAATAGAGCAATTTGGAATGGTTCCTAGTTAAGTTCATTCATCCTTCCTTTTAACTGTGTTGTCTAGTGAATCTTTTAGTTCTGTCATTATATTCCTCAGCTTCAGCATTTCCACTTTATAATTTTTATTTCTTTGTTTAGTTTCTCATTTTTCCATACATCCTGCTCCTTTTTCACTTCTGATTTAAGTTCTCTCCATCTGTGCTCCTATCAGAATTGATAAGATTCTTTAAGATTATTATTGTTAATTATCTGCTGAGCAGGCTGTGGGCGATAGATCTTAATTTCTTTAGGCTCAGTTACAGGAACCTTGTTTGGTTCTTTTAGTGAGTGTTGTGGACACATGATCCTTGGAGCCCTGACTTGGCTGCCTTTGCACTTGGAAGGCAGTCACTTCTAGTTCTTTCAGGTTATTTTCATCTAGTGAAGGTCTTCATCAGTCCTGCTGGTAGATTATGGATGGATCAGCTGGTAGAGTCTGTGGGTAAGACAGGTAGGAATGTGCTGGTGCACCTAAGCCAAGTCATAAAAGTAGATCTGTTACCATGGTCTATGAATGTAGTCATTACAAGAGTCTATGATGAGAAGGGCCTGCTTCCAGGGTTCAGGAGTAGATGACATTGTCAGTTCATGGATACATGTGTTTCTATGGAATCTGTGTACAGATGGGACTGTCTTTGGGTCCCATGGGCAAGTAGTGCTATTTGTAGCTCTGTTAGAGAATGAAGAGATTCTCTATGAGGTTTCCTAATGTTTGTAAAATATCATGATAATAGAGGCATAAATAGGCCTCCTTTTGGGTGTGAACACAAGAAGAGCTACTTTCACACCTATGTGTGGAAAGGCTGAGCTGTCACTAGGTCCAAAATTAGACAAGGCTGCTTCTAGGTCCCCAGCTGGACAGATTTCTAGCAGGGACATGGGCAGGTGGTTCCATTACCAGAGGGCATAGATCTGCCTTCCCAATGCAACCAAGTGCTATAAACTCTTGTGTAAATCTCAGAGCTCTGATAAAGGCATATTTTACCTGTAGGAGAGGAGAATGGGGAACTCGGGCCTGGATGTAAAATATGAGAGAAAAATAAAATAAAAATTATCTTAAATCTGAAGTTTCAAAGGAACCAAGAAAACTCAATTTTAAAATATGACAACAGATCTGAGGAAAGATGGGATGGACACATGCATAACTTTAGATTTGACCCAGCATGGGCAGACTAAACAGTCATCAGAGCAGGAAGAAGGAATAGTTTGGTGTTGTTGCTGCTATTGTTGTTTAATTCTGGAATACTGATAACATGTGCAATTACCACACAGAATATTCTGGCAATTCCAGACACAGAACAGCTTGTACGTACCTACAAGATCTTTTTTATAGACTCCATACTACTAGTCACTAGCAAGATGACAGGCAAGGTAGAAGACTAGATAGAATATCTTTAGATGTACATAGATGTGAAATTGTGTCTATTCCCAAGACTATCTCTCCTTCAAATAAAAAAAACTAGGGTGGGAACTTGACCCTAGGACCTAGGCAAAGATCTGAAGCCACAAGAAATACTGTATATAAAACCTGTTGTCTTTAGTGGCATTATTGGGAATTGTCTTTATTCCAGAAATCACACAATTATAAATTACGAATCTGTTCCTACCAAAATAGACTGAATTTCTCTTTCACTTGATAATCCCAAGCAATGGTATAGTTTGACTGCATCGAGGTTGAGGGTAAGTACCACTGGTACACAGACACTGCAGGGGATTGAGGATGGGTTGAGGTGAGGAGCATTGAGGTGAGGAGCATTGAGGTGAGGAGCATTGAGGTGAGGAGCATTGAGGTGAGGAGCATTGAGGTGAGGAGCATTGAGGTGAGGAGCATTGAGGTGAGGAGCATTCTTCCCCTCTCCTCATTCCTCATTGAAGTTTGCATGGAGCAGCACTAGCCAAAGTTTTGTTGCTGTGGGGGAGAAGCCAAAGCATGGAGAGAGATATCACTGACACTGGCCTGAAAGGACTCCTACAAACTGAGAGTGAAAGAGAACAACAGAGACAAACCTTCAGAACTCAGGTTCTATACAGAGTGTCTTAGTTGAATTTGGACGTCAGCTTGGCTTGGCCTAGAGTCATCTGAGAGGAGAGCCTTGACGGAAGAATTGCCTGGATCAGGTTGGCCTGTAGGCATATCTGTGGATACTGTCTTAATTATTAATTGATGTAGGAGGGTCTGCACCACTTTGGGTGATACCATCTCTAGGCAGGTGGTTCTGGGTTTTATAGCTGAGCATGAACATGCAAACAATCCAGAAAGTGTTTTTCCCTTGCTACTTCTTCAAGTTCCTGGGTGACCTGTGTGCCCTATACAACCTTCCGTGTTATGTTGTGACCCAGAAGGTAAGACAAATAAACCCTTTCCTTCTCTACATGCCTTTAGTCTGTCTTTTACCACCACAACAGACATCAAGAACACAAAGCATGCCATAATAGCAGGCTATTGCTGAAGAAGCCTGAAGTTTAAGGAATCTTAAAGTGACAAAAGCAAACCTCGTCATTCTCACTAGTCCCCTCACTAATGGCCTGGATAAGGAGCATCTTTGTTCCTGGGTAGAAACGCTGCTTCTCATGGGCTCCATTCCTTTCCAACAGGATACCTCATATTC